TGCGATTTTTGCGATTTTTTGACTTAACTTTTCTAAGATAGAATATATGCCACTATCAAAAAAAAACCTTAAATGATTATGTTCTACTTTGACCTTTACCTAGATTTTTTATCCAAAAATCAAAATAAAGATCCTTTTTTTACCTTGACATTAAATTTACCGCAACCGGGAATCTACGTAAAACACATTATGACAATTTCACAATAATTATTGACAGCAAGCTACGGTCGTCCGATTCAATTGTTATAATACTGTGTCACCGAGATACAACGCCCTATTTAAAAAATTGTAGAAAAAAGGCAGTTATTGAACACAAATTAACTCTGAAAATGTAGGTTTTGCCCAAAGTTCGTTTTGAGCCCCTCGAAAGAGACTCGAATATGTTTTTTTGTTAGTTTTATGTGGTTTCCTCTTAACTAATATGTTTCCAATCTAATGTTATTGCCATAAATGCTAACTGTGGATGTTATTTTTTGCAACTTGGTTTGGACATATTGCCTACTGTGGGGCCGTATGTATACTATTCGTTCGGAAATAAATTTATTATTATTATAACAAAAAGGCCTATCTCTATTAAACAACTAAAAATAAATTATTTATTAGAATTTACGCTCAATTTATCTTCACAGCGTTTCCTCAATGTCTCCGTTTAAGTGTTAATACAAAAACACTATTAAAAAATTAAAGACTTTACATTTATTGGCCAAATAAAGTAAGTGATTTTCTTTAAATTGCTCTCCTGAAAAGTAACAAAAATCGAGATACGCCTTTTCGTCATAAAGCCGACGATATTAATATTTACATTAATAAGAATTAAACAAAGTTCACCTTCAGATCTTAGTCTGACTTGTCCTAGTTTAATTTTCATTGTGCAAATAATTTCTTTATAGAAATATATTTTATTTAATATATTAGGTGATTTATTTTAATGATAAATCTTAAATTCTTGCTCATGACAGTATTCTATTAATAAAACAAAGCCCACAACCGACAAAAATGCTTAACATTTGAGGAGGTATATCGGCTCAAGTTTCGTTTACTTGAAATCATTTATACATATAAGAAATATTTGTTTATTTAGTATTTAGAAGTCTTTTCGAATAGTATGCTATAAAAAATATCTGCGGATATACATCCTTTTCGAGTTTTTCAACTTTAAAATAACTGAAATCAGTGCTACTTCTTTCATTTGGCTGAAATCAGTTATGTAAGAATATTTGTTTATTTAGTAATTTGGAAGCCTTTTTGAATAGTATGTCACAAAAATGTTTCTGCGGAAATGCATTATTTTCAGTTTTTCAACTTTAGAATAGCTGAAACCAGTTACATGAAAACACGTTTCTATCTTTCATTCTAGAAATTTTTCTAAACATAGATACACAAAAAAAACTTCTTCCTGAAGTGTACCATTTCCATTTATTGATAAAATATTGTAAAATATAGCAAGATTTGAAAAGTACTCGGCTATTGGAAAACAATATTCAAGGTGGCGCCTCTCATACGCAGCGGAGGCTCCAAGGAGAACAACAGTTTGTATTAAAATGAAATTTTGTGAGCATATCTAGATTAATTCAGAGCACTTTTTAAAAATATAGAGAGTTCTACAGGGTGTCCCCAAAAAAAGTAACATATCAAAAAATTATACAGGTTGAGACACAATAATATTGAACATTGCCCATACAGTACATCAAATCACATTTACGATGTGTTTACATTATTAGATGCAGACACAGGGTGACACAATTCCCCCGATGCAAATATGCTACGTTTACACATTGTAGTTCAACACGTATGCACAAAGGTTAAACGTCCGCCTCACACAATGTAGCCACAATATAGCATTTACGTATACACAAAGTAAGGGATACACAGTGTGCCGTAGGATACACAGTGCTTGTGTATTACGTTTAAACTCTGTTTACACATTGCAGTTGTGACTACCGTGTGTATACGTATGTATTTTGCTTCGTATATACATCTTGTGCTAGATAAAACTACTTCTTATGAACGAATTAAAAAATTATAGGAAATAATACAAGTTTTGATGCCTAACTTTTCGTTCTTTTTAAGAAATATTTATTCAATGATACCAATTATATCTTTTTAGAACGAAAATTAGGAAGGCAAAACTTTGTATTTTCCAAAAGTATCTCGATCGTAAGTTCAAGAGAAGTAGCCTTAAAATTGTTCCATTTTTGTTTTGTATTAAATGTACCATTTTTCTTCCATAAAATGGATTAAGTGGTTAAACAATAAAATTCTTATATTTCTTTATATCATAAAACGCAATAGCGCAAATAACACAATAATAATAATTATTTACACAGCAGAAACCAGAACTAAGAAAACACTGTAAAAGAACAGAATTTGTATCAAAATGTATTAAAAATATAAGTACCTAGTATAACAACATAATATGCAATGGTATATGCCTAGTATAGCAACATAATATGCAAAATGGTAACACTGGAATATCCGCCACGATTTGGTGGACCTCGTTTAGTCATTTTTTCTCTTCTTTTCCCTCAAGCAGTTGGTTTGTTAGCATACTCATTCAACGAGCACTTTGTTGGACTTTGTTGTATTTTATTTCCAGATTAACAATCTCACCCTTAAATTTTATATGAAACTGATTATTGAATATTAAACATATCTGTATATTGTGTATATTGATCCATCAATAACTTATCGAATATCAGAGTAAGAAGTTCTTTGAAGTGTTTAAATCTTTCTTTCTCTGGTCAATTTAGATTTTTATTATTTCCAAATTAAAAAAAATTAATTGCAAAAATCTAACCTCTTTATCATTATACGAGAATATTTGGAGTTTTCATTCATTGGTGTCAAAATTTGGTAAATTAGGTATCGAGTAAGGGAAGAGTCGCTGCTATAATATTAATAATACTCTTAGGAAGGTGTAAAAAGGTAATTAAAAACTTGTGCTTACCTTAAAATCTCTTTTAAACTACACAAAAACAGAACATTTATAGAGCTTCCGAATGATAAAACAATAATGGCGGCTAACACATACCACTCCTAGAAAGGAGGGAAGGAGAAGAAACATAAGATACACTTGAGTCGGTGTATCTACGCTGAGGCTATCCGCGCGTGCATACACACTTCATTTCATGCTAGAATGTAGACACAAGAGTACACTATTACAAAGTGTCTATATAGATATTTATATTATGTGTATACGTCACATTTTTACAAGGTGTGTACTATAGGCACAACTATGATACAAAGTATCACACATACATATGACTTATACATTGTATCTCTCATATACCGACGTCAGATTTCATCATTTTAATAATTATTTGTTACGTTACAAAAAACTCTTTAGAATCTTGAGTGCATACTGTATACAATTAGTAAACACTGTATCACACAATTCTATCAATATAAACCTGCGTGTATCTCATATGTATATGTTAGAACTAGATGAACACTTAGGTTCACTTTAACATATTTTGTTTCTCATGTGTCTTCCTTGTAGAAACGTAATTTCATTTGGACGTGCTGTATGAGTGGTTACCTTTAAAAGCATGTTACTCTTTTATTTTAAATGGAACACCCAGTATATTATTCAGATATTCTATGGAGAATTCATGTCTCTTCAAAATACTATTAAGGTTGCCTACCCCTCAAACAAAGATTTTCCTAGATATTTTCATTTACATGATTTGATCTGGGTAGATCTTTATTACTTGATAAAATCTAAGTGGCTGTGATGTCTGACGTTACTTCAACATAGCTGTCTAATTAGTCCAACTTTAACAGCTAGTTATCATTTTGTGTCACTTAAAACAAAAAAAAATCTCAGAAATTTGCCGAAAATGCAAACTTATCCTACATCAGAGAGAATTGATATGATTCTATCAGTTGGTGAATGCAGTGTGCATTCACCAATTATATAGAATACCTAAATGCTCCTGATTTTATCTAATCTGTTTTTTTATGGGGATATGTTAAAGACAGTGTTTACAAAACTAGACCAACTATTGTCGACAACATGAGATAAGAAACTCTTGTAGGTGCTTTTCGAGGTAGAACTCCACATATGCCTTTTAAAATGAAAAGATCCTTTTGAAAAGACAATCATTTTATGCAGTTCACAGGAAAGGAAGCATTTTGAGCATTTGATTTCATCTAGCTAATTTTTGTCACATAATTATAGGTTTATATCTAGTTTTAATTCTGTAATAATTAAAATATGTTTTAAACGTGTATCTTTTTATTACCGTTGAGTATTTTACTCTACAATCTTTAATTTTTGTTAAATTAACACAAGGTATGTCACAGCCTCCCTAGATTTTTTCAAATAATAAAGATCTATTGACACAAAAACATAAAAATTAAAATATCTAAGAAAATCTTTGTCTGAGGGGTAGATAACCCTAATAATATTTTGAAGATATATAAATCTCCCATTGAACACCGGAATAATATACTGGGTGTTCGATTTAAAATAAAGGAATAACGCTTTTAAAAGTGGCTACTGTTCCATAAGTGTTAATTTTCTCTCACCCTGTATAACTTTTTGGATCAAATTTCAATTTGGTTTAACATACAATGGTTACTGTAATTAAATATCAGGCTATACAAGGTCAACTAAAATTTAGGTAGCTGTTATCGAAATTTAAAATTTACTCTTCATTTTCACAAAATGTGAAATATGTCAGAATTCTTAGATTTTAGGTATATGCTTCGTTAATAAAGCTCACCTTCCTCATTAGAATCCGAAAATCAATTAATATATGGGGTCTTCCATTAGAAAAAACACAACTTTGATGAGTAACTTTTTCTTGGGACACCCTGTATATTTTTATAAAATGCTTTCAGTTAGCCTACATATGCTGCCAAAATTTCATTTCGGTATAAACTATCTACCGTTCTCCTTAGAGCTTCCGCGGCGTATGAGAGGCGCCACCCTGTATATTTATGATTTAATACAAAATTGTTGATTTCGATAATTTAAGCTAGATTTGTTCCCTTAGCAAAGCCAACTAGAAAATAACACAGATCAATGGAACCGATTTATAGATATACCGTTTCCAATTTCATTTGGTGTTCGATTTTTTAATGTCACCAATCCGGATGGGGTACGCAACAAAAATGAAAAACCAAGACTGACAGAAACAGAGCTTTATGTTTACAAGTAAGTACAAACTTCACTACATACAAGTTTTTTATATCCATATGAAATAAATTAATATTTCCACTTTGTAAAAATATAGTTTGAACAACTGGCATTCTAACTAAATGTCACTGATTACATTACATTATTTGTTATTATTATAACATTTATTTTATTAAAAAGATTTCAGATCAAACTCTGCTCGCACTTCTCTCATTTCCTCAGTTGCTCTCTAGTTCAAAACAAATATACAGGGTGTTTCAAAAAACATGTGCCAACTCTCGTGTGGAGATTCCTCACGTAAAAATAAGATTTATTTTTCATATTAACATATGTCCAATTCTGCTTTGTTTCGTAGCTACAGGGTGTTAAAATCTTAACAATCTTTCGATTTATTTTAATTTTCTTCCAAGTACCTACTTTTAGCGCTTCGAATGAAATTTTAAGGGTAAAAGTTACTATAAATTCGACATATTTTAAAGCTAAATAAAGAATCGGTAAAAAAACTTTTAAGTTAAACGGTTTTATTTTATGTGCACTGAAAACTAGAAAATAATAATAACAATTAATTAGGTATTTTGAACTTCTAGTTCAGAAATATTTTAGTACTAGGCAGAATAGCTTTTAGGCATATTAGATAAAATAAAAACGTGGTGCCCATTAACTATTGCTGTAATACTTTCTTCTACATCTATGCTAAGTGTGGATTGCATCGACTTACTATAATCGTAATTGGAGATTTTGACAATCAATAACCAGCCGTGGCGGCTTCACCAGCGAACGCCGAGCTCATGATCTACCAAAGTATAAAGATATGCTTTACCATAGGTAGATTTCAGAGGGACCCCACGTTTTTATTTTAGTCTAATATGCCTAAAAACTATTCTGCCTAGTACTAAAATATTTCTGAACTAGAAGTTCAAAATACCTAGTTGTTATTATTATTTTCTGGTTTTCAGTGCACATAAGATAAAACCGTTTAACTTAAAAAAAATTTTATCGATTTTTTATTTTCTAGTTTTTAGTATTTAACGGAAATGCCTACCGAATATTCCTCATTCTATTTAATTCATTTAGTGCATCATTATTACATGGTTTTTTACCTGATAATTTATTACAATCTGACGCTCAGGTGTTTCTGACGCTAACAACTCTCTCTGTCTATCACGTTCTGATGCTAGCCTAGACTCATGACGCTCAGGTGTTTCTGACGCTAACAACTCTCTTTGTCTCTCTCGTTGTGATGCCAGCCTAGACTCATGACGCTCAGGTGTTTCTGCCGCTAACAACTCTCTCTGTCTGTCACGTTGTGATGCTAGCCTGGACTCACGACGCTCAGGTGTTTCTGACTCTACCAGCTGCCTTTGTCTCTAACGTTGTGCTATTAACCTGGCATCATGTTGCTCAGGTGTTTCTGTTGCTAACCGTTCTCTTCGTTTCTGTAGTCGACTATAGGTTTCATTTTCACTTTCTTTTGCACGTTTCGTTCGCCTTTTCGAGCCTTTTTCGTTGTGTAGCAGTTTCGTTTTTATTTTTGTTTGTTTTTTTAATTATTGTTTCCATGTTGTTCCCACGAGTAATGGACATTTTAACGGTCGACCCCCCCAGAGGTCCAGTAGAGGGGCAAGGCTATAATATACAACAAGAGGCGCCCAATCTTGAGGGGAAAACGCTTGCGACATTACAGTTTTAGCCACCCTAATGCCATACAGTCCTCAGCACGTTTTAACCTATTACCTTAACTTGGGTGGTAAAGCTACCGCTAACTACGTAGGTACATCTAATCACCTATTTTTTTTTATCTGTCCTTCTAACGTCACACAATCTTGGACACAACTGTTCTGGACCCGACTACTCATACCCTCACCTAATACGCCATTTTGTAACGACGTCCATCTTGGATTTTAAATTTTGTCATAATCACAGTATTCTACTAGTGTAGCCCTTTCATTTGATACCCATATTGAGGGGTTATTGATATTACTATATTGTATTGTCATCGGAACTAAAGGTGTGTACCAAATTTCAGATCAATCTGACAACAGGAAGGTACTTAAATTTCAATTTCTAATTTTGACCCAAATAAACAAACAAATAAATAAATACCGTACGGGTCGAGCTAAATAAAACCGTTTAAAAAGTGTCTCTCGCTGGAATATTTTTCTAAAAAAGCATGTATGCCACTGACTTTTTGCTTTTGCTTGTGAAATAGTGTAAACAGTTTAATGCCGATTAAAAGTTGTCTCTTGATATTTTGTTGAATTCGGCCTCCTTGATGAGATAAACGCAATTTTATTAATTTGTCTTGATCCAAGTTTAAAAGTTCATTAACTTGCAAAAGTTTTAAATAAGTACTCATTGACTCCTCGCCAAAAAATATGAAAAAAAGTTCCTATAAACATGGGTATGGAAATATATAGTTTTAGAGTTACAGGATGTTAACAGGAATTTTTAAAATTATTAGTTTTTTTGTTAGCATCTTAAATACCATTATTTTTTTGTTTGAAATTGCTGTAGGCTGCACAAATAGTAATAGTAACTAATAGTAATAATATTTAATAAGAAAATATAATCAAAAGAAAAAAATCAGTGGCGCACATGTTTTTTTTTTAAATATTTCAGTGATAACCCATGCACGTCCCTGATGAATTTATTGGCACTTTTTTAGCATTAAAATATGTAGCACTTATAGTAACTTTTACCCTCAAAATCTCATTCGAGTCACTAACAGTACTTGGAAGAAAATTATAATAAATCGAAAGATTATTAAGTCTTTAACATACTGTAGCTTCGAAACAAAGCAGAATCGGACATATATTGATATAAAAAATAAATCTTATTTTTACGTGAGGAATCTCCCCACGAGAGATGGCACATGTTTTTTGAAACACCATATATAAACAAAAAAGCAATTATTAATATGTCAAGGAAATACAGGGTGGCGCACCTCATTCGCCTCGGTTGATTATACGAAAACGGAAAGATGTAGAAACAAAATATTTTATGGGTATATGTGGGGTGTCAATGTACACAATTTAAAATTATTTTGAAATATACAGGGTGTCTCAGAACTAAGATCCATACCAAAGTTATATTTTTTCTTATGGAACACCCGGTATTTAATTTCATTTTTGGATTATTGGGCCCAAAAAAAGACATTCATTATAAGGGTTAAATATATTTAAAATCATTGGTTTTTGAGATATTTAAAGATATTTAAATATGCATGCTACAAGAGAATCGATTATGAGTACCCTGTACATTACTTTTCAGAATTAATTCTTGTGTTGAGTTTAAAGGCAAAGAAATAAACTTTATTGAAAAATGTTATTGCTTCCTTAAATTTAATCAGGGGTACCAAAAATTAGTGATCTATTTTAAGGATTTATTTTACATTAAAACTTTGTTATTTAAAATGCAATACCCTGTATTTTTTTAAATAAATCCAAGCAGATTTAAATGCTTTTTCAAACTATATTAGGGTTTCCTATACCTATATGGCTCAGATTTTGAATAAAAAAGCGATTTTTAAATAAAATGGCAATCAAGATGGCTGGTATCGCCACGACAATTTTCTAGTGACAGTTAGTAACTATTTTCAAAATCGACATTAGTTTATAGACTTTATTTAAATCTATACCAATTTACTTTTATTTAATTGACCTACAATACCCAAGTAGCATTTGGACGTTATCTAACGTCGTGTATACGTCGCGTTCAATAAACCCGACGTCGGGTACCAACGTCGGTTCGACCGCCTGACGACCCTTATTTGCACCTAAATGGGGAATACAGATTCGGGTCGCCTCGACGTCGGTATCTGACCTAATAGTGAATGTAATCCTACCAATTACCAACGTCATATTACGTTGGATTTTAGTCACTTAAAATTCGTCGCTAAGCACTTACGTTACGTTTGGTTTCATATTCGCTACCAAGAATACATAAAAACCTAACCAAACTACCTAATTACAAATGAATTCATAATCACTCCTCGAATATAACTATAAGTGCCTATCTAATTTCATATTATAATAATTCTGAATCATTAATCCAGACATCAGTTTTGTCAACGGAAGTCACTTTTTGATATATCTGATTAAAATACTCGGAAAACAACGAGCGCCTTCAAAATTAGGTAGATTTATGAAATAAAAATATCTATAAAAAAGTATCTCGCAAAATATTTTTTTTAATTTTCTAGCTGGTTTAATCATAAAACTGTACTGTGGTTCCCCCCAAACTCAACCTTTATCAATATTATTCTACTAGAAATCGAAATGTGAATATAAATTTTAAAAACAAAAACGATTTTAAAATGGCTGACAATCTGATACTTGTTAAGAATGGCGGATTTCTGTGTCCGACTTAATATGAACTACCAATATACCAATTCCGACCGGGTCTCCAACATTAGTCGTCTCACACGACCGAAGTCATCAAACCGAACGACCGGCAATCGTATTATGACGTATATAATTCCAACGTACGCCACGTAACCTCACTTTGCGTATCAGTGATTTGTGGATTTGTGCAACTATATTTTAGTTTTTGTTTTCTCCTTAAAAAAATGGGCGGCCACTAAGCCTAACCTCACATGTGGGAGGAGGATGGGGTCTGCTGGTTTCCTAAGCTAAAAAATGAAATTAAGATGCACAAGTGTAATGCAGCATCTCTTCCGGATAAAAAGCATTTATGGGTGGAGGCAAGACATCACTACTACTATTATTATTTTGCAAAAGCCTCGACCTCTTTCTGGTAAAATGTAGATGAATGTCTAAATGCCTTTTTAGTGTTTTTTTAGGCATAATAAAAAAATTAAGTATGTTTACAAAAACTTTTTATTAGGTTATGTTATATGGATGATGTTCATTAGGTCGCAAATGCTACTTAATGGGTTGTATTTACGGACGTAAATAGAGATACGTAAATTAGGTTATAAATATGAACATAAAATACAACAAAATATAATTGGACGTTACTTTAGGGATTATCAGTGAGATGTATCCTATTCGGACAACGGGTAGACGTCGGGCTAGTTCAAGTATATGTACGTCGTGCAAGCCAACGTGGGAACGACGTTGGGAAATTAATAAAAATGGTACGTTGTTATTTTGTACGTCGACAGATCGTTGGATTTACCGACTCGGATCCAACGACGTCGCTTTTAATAGGAAAGCAAAGCGACGTCACCGGTCGTATCACCAGCACCCGACCTAAATTTGCACAAAGTCTGACGTCGCTTCAGGTCAGATTTAGTTCGAAGTCAGATAGATGCTACTTGGGTAGTTAAATAAATAATATTTATTTAATATGTATTTATTATTCTATCCAGAAAAAAGAAGTAGTTCTTTGTTTTATTTTACGATAACTTTTAGATATATGAATTTTTTATAAAAGAGCCAATTACGGTAAATTCAATTTCTTCACTTCCAACGACAGGTTTCCGCCTAATAGGTTTTTTTATAAACGACACTACCAATTCTGCGAAATAGCAAATAGGACAAGTAGTTTTTCAAAGGAACGCTTATCAGGAAGATTCCTATCTGGATATCTTTGAGCATTAGCTCTTGAGGCTAAGAAATAATTTTCCTCACAAAATAAAATCACTAGTAACATATCCATTCGTTCCACCAGCAGATATGGCTTTATTTTTCTTTATAACATAAGGAATACTTACTTATTAAACTATTGTGGGTAAATTTTAGTAAACTGTTTAAATAATAATGTCCATACACTAATATCGATTTTGAAAATAGTAACTAACTGTCACTAGAAAAGTGCCATGGCGATACCAGCCATCTTGATTGCCATTTTATTTAAAAATCGCTTTTTACTCAAAATCTGAGATAGATAGGCATAGGAATCCCTAACATAGTTTAAAAGAGCATTCAAATCTGCTTCGGGTTGTTTTAAAAAATACAGGGTGTTGCATTTAAAATAACAAAGTTTTTATATAAAATAAATCCTTAAAATTGATCAGCAATTTTTGATACCCCTGTATAAATTTAAGGAAGCAATACCATTTTTCAATAAAGTTTATTTCTTTACCTTTAAACTCAGCACAAGAATTAATTCTCAAAAATTAATGTACATGGTATTGATAATCAATTCTCTTGTAGTATGCATATTTAGATATCTTTAAATATCTCAAAAACCAATGATTTTAAGCATATTTAACTCTTATAATAAATGCCTTTTTTTGGGCTCAAAAATCCAAAAATGAAATAAAATACCGGGTGTTCCATAAGAAAAAATATAACTTTGGTATGGATCTTAGTTCTGAGACACCCTGTATATTTCAAAATAATTTTAAATTGTGCACATTGCCTTCCCACATATACCCATAAAATATTTTGTTTCTACATCTTTTCGTTTTCATATAATCAACCGAGGCATATGAGGTGCGCCACCCTGTATATCGCACCTTCAATGTTAAAGACACCTAAGTAAAACTAATAACAATTATTATAATTATTTACTACTTAATATTATTAATAACTAATATTATATTTGTGTTGTGCCACTTTATGATTGTAGTTGCGATATGTATACTTGAATTTAAGATATAGAGCCAATAACGATTTTTATTTATTTTTTAGTTCACGTAGATTGTTTTCTAAAATTTGTTTTCATATTTCATAGTCTGTCCAACGAATCAAGGAAGATTTCGACAGATAACATCCAAAAAATGACAGAAAAAATTACCTGTAAATTAAAACGACAGACACAAAGTCACTGTAATATAAAGGGTGTCCCAGGCTGAGCATGCGTTAGAAGTTTCTAGAGAACCACAATATCCAGATCGGAGATTTTTTGCACATCATTGTTTTACAACGAGATCTATTGATTAAAAATATTTTCAATATGGCGGCACTTCCGGAAATACCGGAAGTTGACAGCAACTTTCTTACTTTAAATGGGTACCCCCATTTTTTATTACATATTTAAATTCTATGAAAAATTTTATAAATTTTGATGTTAAACACTATATACCTAACATTAACCGTTTTTGAAAGAAAACAATATATAAAATTTTTGGACGAAAAAAACTACCTGTCAAAAAAATTCCTATAGCATAAAAGTCAAATTTAGTGATTACCACAGTCACTGTGACATAACGAGAAGACATGTGGCTATCTATTTCTAAAATTAAACTGTTCAAATGTCATATAATAATGGCGGTAGCTGTCATGGAGTTGAGCAATTAAAAAATTATCATAAATAATTTTTTTCAAATGGAAACCCACTTTTTTTATTTCACTAGGGCAAACGTTTTCCAATTCGTTACTTTTTGAGTATACATGTTCCTATACCTAAAATAAATCGTTTTTAAGTTATTTAAGATTTAGTTTGAAAACATATATTTTTCTTGATTTTATCTAGCTTCCTTTGACATTAAGTATCAGTCAGATAATTTATTTCTATCTGTCAGAAAACGAATTATTTGAATTATAAATACTACCTGCTTAAAAGTTTAAAAAGTTTATTTATAAAAAAAATATATCTCGTATTTTCGCTCTTTAGTGATATCTATAATAGTTGATATTATTAATATTATACTGTATGATCGAAAAAAAACAGAGTCGGCTTGGAAATGATGATCGATAACATACCGCTTTTTGAACAAAGTGTCACAATATGACATGGCCAGATCTATTGTTTTACATCACTTGACGTTTAAAGTCATAGGCTACTGGTTAAAATCAAGAAAAATATAGGCTTTAAAAGTAAATCTTAAATAACTTAAAAATAATTTATTTTAGGTATAGGAACATGTCAAAATGTAACAAATTGAAAAGCCTTTTCACTAGTGAAATAAAAAAAGTGAGTTTCCATCTGAAAAAAATTATTTATGATATTTTTTTAATCGCCCTTTCCATGACAGCTGCTGTCATTATTATATGACATTCGAACAATTTCATTTTTGAAACAGATAGCCATATGTCTTCTTTTTATGTTACAGTGACTGTGGTAATCACTAAATTTGACGTTTAGGCTATACCCATATTTTTGACAGGCAGTTTTTTTCGTTCAAAAATTTTAAATATTTTTTTTCCAATGTTAGGTATAAAGTGTTTAATATCAAAATTCATAAAATTTTACAGAGAACTTAAATATGTAATAAAAAATGGGGGTACCCGTTTAAAATAAGAAAGTCGCTGTCAACTTCCGGTATTTCCGGAAGTGCCGCCATATTGAAAATATTTTTAATCGATAGATCTCGTTGTAAAACAATGATATGCAAAAAATCTCCGATCTAGATGTTGTAGTTCTCTAGAAACTTCTAATGCACGCTCAGCCTAGGACACCCTGTATATCTTCTCACTGGACAGACTATTAGGACACATTTCTTTTTTCTCATACGACGCGGAGGCTCCAAGGAGAACGGTAGTTTATATCAAATAAAATTTTGGGAGCATGTATAGGTTAATTGAAAACATTTTATAAAAATATATAGAGCTCTACAGGGTGTCCCCAAAAAAGTTAAGTTGGGTTTTTTGTAATGGAACACTCTATAAATTACTTGATTTTCGGATTCTAAAAAAAATAAAGGCGTGTTTCATTAAAGAAGCATATGCCTAAAATGTAAGGATTTTGACACATTTCACATTCTGCGAAAATTAAGAATTCCTAAATATTAAATTTCTCCACGGAGGCCCCCTTGTCGTATGAGAGGCTCAGCCCTGTATAATCTCAACTTTTTTTTCAGTATGCGTATTAATAAGTATAATATACGTCAAGACAGTAGCGAAGAAGACAGCATAACATATCAACGAAATTTAACATTCGAGTATGACGAAAGTTCGAAAGGAAAGAAAACTGATAATGTTACAATTATTAACCCTGTTTTATTGGTAAGACTACAAAAATTAAAATATACGTAAATATACAGGGTGTTTCAAAACAAATGCGAAACTCTTCAGGGGGTGATTCCTTGTTCAAAATAAAGGGTAGTTTGCTTCATAAATGTTGGGTCAAAAGTCAACCATTAGGGAGATATTGCGGTACAAAGATGGCGGAAAAATAATGTTTTTATTTTTTATCTTGAAAACGAAAAGAGATAGACTAATAAAATTTTATGGAAGCATTACTGTTATGAAAACACACTTTCTGGTAATATTTTCACTTTTTTAAAATGAGTGGAAGGGGTTGAAATAAACTACTTATCATTCTTGTTAACGAAATTTAAAGAAAAATCTTATCAAACACATGCAAAAAAATTAATTTGGATAGTTTAGTTTGTTTAGAAACTTTTTTATCTCTTGTATTTTTTTGAAAAAACTCACCGATTTGAAATTAAAAAAAAATGTGAAGCATTACATGTCAGGACAAAAAACATTTTCTGATAAAGAATCTAGTGGGCTGCTGTAATTTTTTTAGGAAAAAATCTAATCGGCCGCTGTTACTTTTTAGGATGTTCCTAATATTATTTTATTTGACATTACTCTACTGCAATACGTTATTATCTAGATGATTATTCTTATCGTTATTATCACTAGATTCTTTATCAGAAAATGTTTTTTGTCCTGACATGTAATGCTTTACATTTTATTTTTTAATTTCCAATCGGTGAGTTTTATCGAAAAAACACAAGAGGTAAAAAAGTTTCTAAACCAACTAAACTATCCAAATTAAAGCATTTGCATGTGTTTGATAAGATTTTTCTTTAAATTTCGGTAACAAGAATGATAGGGGTAGTTTATTTCAACCCCTTCCACTCATTTTAAAAAAGTAAAAAAATTACCTGAAAGTGTGTTTTATAACAGTAATGCTTCCATAAAATTTCATTAGTCTATTTCTTTTCGTTTTCAAGATAAAAAATAAAAACATTATTTTTCCGCCATCTTTGTACCGCGATATCTCCCTAATGGTTGACTTTTGACCCAACGTTTATAAAGCAAACTACCCTTTATTTTGAACAAGGAATCACCCCCTAAAGTTTTTCGCATTTGTTCTGAAACACCCTGTATATGTTATATATATTTTGAATAAATTAATTTAAAAAAGGCAGAAATTTTAATTCAACAATAATAGGCAATTGGCATAACATCACAATTTAGTTTATCTTTCAAGAATTTTGGTATAGTAATATATCGCATATATCACAGCAATTTAATATTTAAAATTATTTGGTGAATATCATCGATAGTAATTTCTAAGCCAAGTTAAAGTCGTTTGCGATTATACAGTATTTATATCTTACACTAAACTAATCTATTATATAAAGTTTTAACTAAGTTATTTTCTATTCTAGGCTATATGTATAAGAATTTGTATTATTATTTATATTAACTAATCATTTAATGTTCACATACTGTTATATTTTACTAATGTTTATTTAGCATAAAAAAATGTCTTTTAGTCTCATATAATATTACAAATTCAGAAAAAATATATCATTCAACATAATTGAAAATATTACGACACACATATTATAATAAAATAACTCGAGAACAGTTTTTATATTTGAAATGTATTCTTCTTGCTTACAGTGCCATACTCTATACTAGTGATGTGTCGGTATTTGAGTAACGCGATTTTGGAGCGGTATTTTTTTGTAACGTCGTGTCGCGCTCCGCAACGAATCATGATCCTGTTACTGAAGAACGACGATCATAATGACGACAAAATTATAAATTATTTATAATTTGCAAATAAATTATTTATAATCGCTCTTGAAGTTACCTCGAACCGTAGTAACCGCATAGCGACGTGTTTAGCTCTAGCCGTCGCGATTTCGTCGGTCGCTAACAGTAGTATCAGGAACTGGTATATCCGTAGCGCCGCGCGATCTCGATCGGGACGTGTTCGCTCCAGCCGTCGCGCTCCTAGAGTTGTAGTTCCCTGTCGCAAACAGAAGTAACTGCTGTAACTGGGCATCGACGCTCGACCTCGGCGGCGACCTGCTTCGCTCCAGCCGTCGTGTTCCTAGAGGTTTAGTTTTAGTTCTCTGTCGCGAACAGAAATAACTGGTCCCTGCTGTAGCTGGCTATCGACGCTCGACCTCGGCGGCGCGGCGCGACTTACTTCGTTCCAGCAATCGCTGAAGCGCTTCTAGGGTTCCGTTTTCGCCTGTCGCGATTTGGTCGGTTACTATTGGCGTTGGGGCTCCCGTTGCTACGTTACTTTCGAAATAGCGATTTTTGGTATGTACTAGGATGGTATAAAATAGCGTTGTTAGAAAGATGAAACGTAAAAGCAAATAAAATAAAAATATTATTTGCTTTTATACATTATATAGGATTTATTGTTTATATCTATTTTTAAGGTCAAATGATGGCTGGAATTGCTATAACCGGTCACCAATAAAGATTTTTTTAGACAGTGGTTTAAACTTTGTTCTTGATTTTAACATTACACATATTATGTTACAATATAATATATTTTTGTATTTATCAGCATTGAAAATTTAAAAAAAATATAGGGCCATTTTCTATAAAGTAAACACCGCTCTCCATAGGCGTTCTATTAAATTCAAATAAATTAAGTAGTGTATTATAGTATATGATTGATAATAAATACATGTTAAATAAACCTTTTTACAAAAATAAGAATAAATAAAAAAGAATATGACTGAAAAAAAAACGGAAACTTGTAAAGCCACTCTCAATTGATTAAAAATAAAATCCTAATTAGAGTAATATAATCTAACAAGAAAGAGAATTACATTTTACTAACATATACGGGAATAACGTAAGAATGATTTTATGATTACCTGACATGAACTTTAACATTTTACTTCTAAATTTTCCCACGAGTAAGATAAAATATATATGTAGATAAAAACATATGTACATCTAGATAAAAATTTTAGCATAATGATATTTATATATGATGAAATAATGATTCTAATTATGTCATTTTTTTAATGTTTAGGTTTTTAAAGCAAACATATTTTACGAACAAAAGATAGAAAAATGTAATTATCTTACAAAGGTTTTTTTTTCTTTAAATTACAGCGGTTATACCGTGGATCAGAAGAATATAAATCTAAATTATTATTGGAAAAAATAAAAATTCTTCACTCTGAATAGATGGCGAATAAAAAGTATTGAATACCAATGTACATGTTTTAAGTCACTCTCGAGGGGAAATTCGTGCTTCAATAATAAAAACAACGTCAGTTTAGGGAATAGGGCATATTTTTTTTATTTTATTTAATAGTTTAATTTCTAAAATTGAAACCTAACGTATTGCCACTGTCATAGATTCTTCTAGTCATCCTGTATTGTTTATAAATTGGTCTATGAAATTGTTTATGAATTTACACGGGCACAGAGATTACGGCAAGATTGGGAATAGTTGCAGTTTGTGAAAAAAGGTGGTGGAAAAGTCAATAAATCTCATCAAAATGTATTTTAAGGTGGTAGAATGTAGAAATGAGTGGGAGGGGGGTCAATCACTGCGACTTTACAGATCTATCGTCTCCCCTTTCTTGAGTTATAACTCATCATACAGTCTCAGGGCTTTGACAAAATCTAGTATCTGGGACGGTTTTATAGAGGGTAATTCTCCATCTCCAATATCAGTTGTAAGTTCATGGCACAAATGGTTGTAACAGCTGGTACAATTGTAAGAACCTGACAACACTGGTTGGGAGTAGGTAACTAATGCCAGAAATACTGCATAAGCGAGGACCGTGACACTGTGGAAGTCGGAACCTCGATTACAAAATAGCGTTATTTTGTCGCGGTATTTTTCTGGAACGGTCGCTACCGTCGCTACTGCAACGCGACTCATGTGGAACCGGTATTCCTATCACTACTCTATACAGAGCGTCGGCTACTTCTTCTCGCATATACTTGCGGTGTGTGTCTTCAGTGTTTCACAAGTACACGTGACCTATAGTTTTATAATTTATTATTTAAAAAGCGGTATCGCTGAATCCGAACGGCACTATTTGAGAGGCTGTACAGGGTGAGTCAACGATAGAGTAAAGTCCATTATCTCATTTGTTTCGAGGTTTACAAAAAAATATTAAATATAAAAGTTATAGAGATGGTTAAGATACACATTTTAAAATTATTATACAGTATACAGGGTGCTTCAAAAAAGTGTGGCGAATATAACATATGTTTTTTTTTAATGCAACACCCTATTTTTTATTTTATTTTTAGTTTCTGCGTAAAATTCCAAAAATTATATACCTAAAATTAATAGTTTTTGTTATATTTAAATTTGTTTAAACAAATGTTAGATTGCAGTGGGTTAAAAAATTGTCAATGATGGCATTGATTCTGAAGTTGGACAACTAAAATTTGGTAGGAGAATTTTATAGAGATATAGAAAAAGACCTATGTAAAGATATTTTAGTTAGATATTACAGGGTGTTCAAAATATATTTAGGAATTTGAACTAATTAAAATTAAGGAATTTCAGTTTTTTTAAATGGTACACCCTATATATTATCATTTTTTCTGATAGATTTTACCAAACTCTTCAACTTTTGTTAAGAATGTCATATACCTATTTTTATTAGTTTGCGATTAATTCCTATTTTTTCTATTTTTACCCATATTTTTAATACAATTGCGCTATAACATCATAGTTGCCATGACAAAAAGTAATAATTATGACAATTTCATGTCTGTTAAGCAAGTTAAGAACAAAATTTGAATTTTAGTTTAATTTGTTGTAATAAGTATAAATGGTAGAGATAACAGATGTTCTTGAAATGAATTAGTCAATGTGAATGATATACACGGACAAGCTTAGAAAACCACATTTTTTTGGTTCAGTACTATTTATTATATAGTACTTTGCTAACTACTATAAGGATAGATGTATATTATCTAGAAAACATCTTCAGTGTGTAATGGGACGGTTTCGTGGCAGTAGTAATATTGGCTTTACCAAATGAATTATAAATCAGAATTACTACGAGAAAAAAACTATACTGTATGTCGAAGAAAATTCATATATCAGTAGTCTTTAGCAATTAGGTAATCTAATATTACCCTAATCTGTGGCTATTCGCCCCGACAAAAAATCCCAAGTGTCATCTTTCATAATATAGAAATACACCAAGAAATTCACTACTGCGATTTAGTTTATTTGAGTAAAGTTAATTAATTTTAACTAATACCAGCAATTGTAACTAATTATGAAGCTACTTGTTAAAGGTAAGTAATAAATAGTTTTGTTTTGTCATGGCAACTATGATTTTATAGGGTAATTGTATTAAAAATATGGGTAAAAATAGAAAAAATGGGAATAAATTGCAAACTATTAAAAATAGGGATATGACATACTTAATAATAGTTGAAGAGTATCAGAAAATCAGTCAGAAAAAATGATAATATATAGGGTGCCCCATTAAAAAAATTTGAGATTTTTTAATTTTAAGTAGTTGAAATTCATAAATATATTTTGAACACCCTGTATCATTTAACTAAAATATCTTTACATATATCTTTTCCAGTGGTTTCCTGCCTTCTAATTTAAATGGCACCCTCTATTTTTTTACTTTATTCGATAGAAAATGACACTCTGAATAGAATGACATATCATATGTCAACTTTTGACATTTTCGCATATGGTTTATTTGAAATTATAACTTGCGGTTCGTAACGAAAATTTGACTCGAAATACCAAGTGTGTGGTACCAAATTATTCGTAAAAAAATGCTTTTTCCAAATATGCTAATGAGCCACCCTCGTTCGATTTGAAAAAATTGAGATATGATTAAAAATACGACTTTTTTCTAACTGACCAGCATTTTCTAACTGACCAGGAGGAGACACTAAAAACATTAGACAATCAAATCTATTTTTCCAAGGATCCTTGATTAAGAATAAGTGTTTTTAATATAACCATGGCACTTTAGATTGAATTTTAAAATTCAATTTTGTTTTAAGCGAGATTGTCGAAAGTTGACATATGATATGTCATTCTATTCCGAATGTCATTTTCTATCGAATAAAGTAAAAAAATACCGAGGGTGCCATTTAAAAATCAAAAGTTCTAGTCATTTCCGGTGAAACAGGAAGTGACCAAAAACAACTGAATACGTCAATCAATCCTAATTTATGTCATATGCTAACATACTAAATCTCGTTTTTTTATCTGAAAAAATAAAAAAGTTATAGGGGGTGAGCCACTTTTGAGACTCACCCGGTATATTATTTTTTTATTAAATGGGGAGTTAAGTAATGATCATTTTTTGTATTAAAAGTATTTCAAAATTTTTAAAGGTTTCGAAGATATACGCAGTATTATTTTATACGCAGTATTATTTTATACTCTTTTTAGACTCTTTCAACGGTAAAATACGAGAAGAAATCATTGATTGGGTGGCTTTGATAAAAACTTACTGTGGAAAATAATAAAACCGCGAATATCTGCGAAACCGTTAAAATTTTGAAATACTCTAAATACAAAAAATGTTCATTTTTTAATTCTCCATATATTGAAAAAATAAAATACAGAGTGATCCATTTAAAAAACGAAGAAGAATTATTTCATATTTTAGAAGAGGTAGAAAAAAGACTCAAAGTTTCGGTCTCAAAGTTTATATAATATTAAAGAGTTGAGAGTGACTCTTTAATATTATATAAACGTTGAGACCATAGACTTAAAATAAAATATAGACTGAGCATCTCATTCATAAATAGCTGGAACATGCGGTCAGACAACGTCTTGTTATTGTTGTGTTATTGTTTTAGGTTATAACGAGTGCGATACGAGCGATAGATAGGTTGTCTCTGTCGTACCGGTCGTTCCCTGACGACTCTGCCGAGAAACACAACACTGTCTTTCGTTTCTCAAGTACACCTGAACTCTCCGTATCATAGCCGGGTAATTTTTTTATTTTAATGAAGCTATAATTAAATTAAAAATATATCGTATTTAAACTTTTTATATTTTATTAAGATTTAGGACAGGTTTTTTTAAATAAAAGTTTAGAAAAAAGTCTTAGAGTCCAAAAGGATAAAAATAATAAAATACACGTTATAGAAGAAATTTTATAATCGAAATTACGTAATTTTTGAAATAAATAATAAATTATTAATTTTAGTCAAACATTTACAACCCCTAATATTAATAAAAACAGGATCTATTCCACAGATATAATACAATCGGCGACAGGGAGAGAAAAAAAATATGATTGTTGTAATTTTTTTTCTGGTTAAGTGATGTCTTATGTAAATTAGAGAAAACATAAATCTGTTCCATTAAAGCAATGAAGGTGATAGGAAGTGGATGAAATGAAAACTACATTTATTTAACTCGGTACTGTCTATATTAAACGGGGTGCGTCCCAAAAGTGGCTCATCCCCATAATTTTTTTATATTTTCAAATAAAAAAACAAGATTTAGTATGTTAGTATATGACATAAATTAGGATTGATTGACGCATTCAATTGTTTTGGTCACTTCCTGTTTCACCGGAAATGACTATAACTTTTAATTTTTAAACGGCACCCTCGGTATATTTCTACTTTATTCGATAGAAAATGACACTCTGAATAGAATGACATATCATATGTCAACTTTTGACATTTTCGCATATGATTTAATTGTAATTGTAACACGCGGTTCATAACGACAATTTGACTCGAAATACCAAGTGTGTGGTATCAATATATTCATAAAAAAATGCTTTTTCCAAATATGCTAATGAGTCACCCTTGTTCCATTTGAAAAAATTGACATATGTATGATTAAAAATACGATTTGTACATCTTTTAACCGGCCTTAGACAAGACACGAAACCCATTAGACGATCAAAACTATTTTTCCAAGGCTCCTTGATTAAAACTTAGTGTTTTTAACAACACCATGGCACCCTGGATTGAAATTTAAAATAGGATTTGCTTTTAAGCGACAATGTCAAAAGTTGACATATGATATGTCATTCTATTCAGAGTGTCATTTTTTATCGAATAAAGTAGCAATATACCGAGGGCGCCTTTAAAAATCAAAAGATGTAGGTAATCATTTCGGTGAAACAGGAAGAGACCAAAAACAATTGAATACGTCAATAAATCCTAATTTATGTCATATACCTATAACATACAAATCTGTTTTTTTTATCTGAAAAAATAAAAAAGTTATAGGGGGTGAGCCACTTTTGAGACGACCCGGTATATTAAAAAATATTGTTTCATAATGTAATATCATTTTAAAATTCTTGTATTTTATTTTAGATTCTGAAGATAATTTTAGAATAAACCGGAATATATTTTTAATAAAAACATTATTAATTATTAACAGGGTTATAATTATGATTTTGTTACAGTATAAGTAAGTAAATAATGTAATGTAAGAGAAAACATTCAGATTTTACATTTTACTAAAATATTATCTAAATAAGCGCCTTTCTACAACAACGCCACTGACTCCTAATGGGTAAATTGAGAGTTGCCTACCGGTCCAAAGTCGTTTCAAGACTAAAATGGATTATTTAAATCAAATTTCTTGCAAATTTGGCACTGGCGAACCATATTTTATAGTTCTTGAACAGAAAAAGTCAATAAAATAAACACTTAAGGACTACAAGCTTAGAAAATGCGTTAATACAGCCGGGGAGATAGCGGCAACAAAGCTTTACCGCACACGTCCGACACGTACTACAAGGTAATAAATGAATGAATAGGCTCCCTCGCCTCTAATCGGTGTTGTCATATTGTAAAGAACTTATCCTTTTTAAACAGTATCCGACTTATAATTTAGTAGTATAAGGACTATTTAATACATCTATGGAATATTAAAACCTACTTTATTAAACTGTAGTATTAATATCTCAATATATGTGTATAACAAGAAAAAAAATATTGATAATATTAAAGACGTGACAACATAGGCTGGATGAGGAAGGCTCGGTCGACTGTACCCAGAAGTAAACATGTGTACAAAAAAGGATGTTTGTCGGCGTTGAGATGTAAATAGTGTAGTCTATATTTTATTTTAAGTCTATGGTAGAGACCGTTGATTATATAAACCTTTGATTATATAAACGTTGAGACCGAGACTTTGAGTCTTTATTCTACCTTTTTTAATTTAAACCAGGTCTCTTTGAGTAGAATGGACGCCTTCTTTAAAATATTTTAGAAAGTTTGTCGTAGAATTTTAAACATTTTGTTTGATTTTTTTGTATGATGGCCATATTTATAGCAAAGTAATTACAGACCATCTAAAGGAAATAGCTAATATAGTTTTAATTTCAGGACAGCTCTTGTATTTTTAATATTTTTTTAAGTCTGAAAAATACAAATTTTTTATTTATTTATTAATATCTCTGAAACTATCGAAAGACATTTACTCATATCTTAGGATTATGTAAAGTGACCTGAAAGGAACCGGCGAAAAATGCAATTATGTTATAGGGTGTTCCATTTAAAAAAAAATATCCCGATCCACTCACACTTTTTTGAGCTATCATATAAAAGTTAAAATATTTTTCTGAAACACATCCTAGAACATACTTTAGATTTGCACTCAAACAAAAGTCCCAATTTTTTTATTCTATGAGCTACAGATGTATATTATTAAAGCTGTATATTATTAAATATCGATGAACTGGTGATAGCATTTGATATCACCTCATCAACAAATCAAAAGTTAGAATGTAACAAAACGCTCTATTTTGCTTTTAGGCTGCTCTACAAATCACAGATGGTATAGAAAGATTGGCGTTCGCTGGATGTTTAAAGCAACTGTTTCAGCCAGATCTGACAGATAATATATTTATTACAGCTTCCGTGGATAACATTCTGTTCGAAGGACTTAATTTTGCTTTTGCCAAAGACTCCAAACTAGGAGTGGCTTGCACCATCGTAAGAACTAAAGTATTGGCCATAGCCGAAAATTTAAGAAACATTGAGCACGTGGATAATAGCGATGGGAATGATTACTTAATGTTTTCCATTTTTAACTATGTACGTATAATATTTCATGTATAAGAAGTGTTAAGGTAGGTTCATATGCTTTCGATCTTAACTACTAACATTAGTCCTAATCCCAAGAATATGAATCAACGTATTATTATCGCTATGTTGGTCACATTGCGCCGTGTTCAGCAATGTTGTCCTTTATTATTTGACAATTATCCTAGTGTCAGTCATTATTTTGTATAATATCGTGTTGTTGTTGAATCTTTGTGAGTAAAGCTTAATTTTCATGCGTCCGTTATCCGTTGATACGATGGTCCGATATTAATTTTATTGGTTGAATTTAAAGACTTCGATTGGTTAGAAACGGTTAACCAATCGAAGCCTTTAAATTCAACCAATAAAATTAATAATTAAAATCGTATCATCGTATCGTCGGACAACGGATGCATGAAAATTAAGCTTAATTCTAATTTCTTTTTGACTATTTTCATAATCTTTTTTTAAAAATTGCACTTTTAAGCACAAACAGTTTTTTTGTATACATCAATAAATAAATAACCCATATTATCGCTTAAAATAATCTTCATTCATAATGGACTAGATTTTGCCAATATGTAATAAGTAAAATAAGCTATAAAACAAATAAAACAATTAATCACTAAAATATTAGTTATTAAATTAAAAATAAAACGTAAAACTCTTTAAAAAATGATATAATAAATAGGTATGTTGTTTGTCAATTTTAAAATAAGATTCATCTCATAAATCTATCACGATCTGGCAGCGCTGTCGCCATCGCTTGTCACTCAAAGTTAATCACGTGCATTGGAAATTGTTTTGCGATTTCCATATAGAGATCATTTCTATGTAAAATTTGATTTCTATGTAAAATTTCACCCCTTCTTGGGGGTGAATTAAAAAAAAATCTTTCACAATTCGTTTTTAGATCTTTCCAAGTAACTTATATCAAAAATTCAAGTTTTTACCAAAACTTCGTATTTAAAAACCTATTTTCTTGGGCTAAATTATTAAAACACTATTTGTTTGTAGAAAAGAAGTGGTTACAAAAAGGAAATACCCGATGGTATCTACACAATTAACCGAGGAAGATCGAACATAGAGGAATTAGGAAACATTATAAGATGGAACTCCAAACCCAAAATAGATAAATGGGGTACAAGATACTCCATCAACAACGACTCCTGCAATCGCGTTAATGGAAGCGATTCTACAATATACAGACCATTTCTACATAATTACGAAGACTTATATATTTACAGCACGGATATTTGTAGGTAAGACAGATTATTATAATAGATACAGGGTGGCCCATCGAAAACGTTCCGCAAGGCATAACGGCCAGAGTATTTGTTTTTTCAGAAAATTCAAAAACACGTCAATTTTGTTTGTGAGGGGGACAACTTTTGTCCCAAAAATGATGGCAAAATCTTCAACCCTATAAACAAGTGGCGTCGCAATGAAAAGAGCTTTCTATTCTCTATATTTCCCCGCCTCGTTTTTGAAAATCGGTCGAGTCATTGAGGAAATATGAAGGATTGAAATTTGAAAAGTTTATTTAAACATTTATCAGAGTAAATGATAAGGATAAATTCCGTCGACCAATTTGCTGTTTTTCTCTGAAAAAGTGGAAATAATCGAACTTTATTTTAAAAATAATGAATGTGGCAATAGGGTTGCGCAGATATTCAATGAACGCCATCCTGACAACCACCTTTATAGTAAAATTGATCGCAAGTTAGTAGCAGAATTTCGCGAAACTGGTTCCGTTATGAATAAAAGAGGCAGAGGGAAAATCCTGTAGTAAATGAAGCTGTGGGATAAGAGGTGACATGTCCCTATCATTTAAGTGCAGTAGCTCTCTAGTTGACAATAGACGCAAAACAGTCATCTGTAGCTAGATACTAGTTGGTCACGTAGGCACGAATATATCTGCACATTTTCTAATTGTTGTAACTCCCATTTATTGTTATTTGGTAACACGGAATACTACTAACTAGTATAGTTTTATTTCAAGACCATAACATATTACATGGTGTCAGGCTGGTACGGGTAAAAATTCCGCTAGAAAAACAATTAAGAAGAAAATTGTAAAAAAATGGAAAACTTGTTCAAACCCCCAGAACCCCTAGTCTTAGATGGAAATGTTGCAGAGAACTGGAAGAGATTCAGCCAAAAATTTGATATATTTTCAACAGCGACAGATCTAGAGTCGAAATAAGAAAGTGGCAGTCTTTTTAAATCTGATAGGTGACGAAGGACTAGAATTATTTAATAGTTTCAGTTTTGAAAATGGAGACGAGAAAAAGTTAGATAAAATCAGAGAGAAGTTTCATGAATACTGTTCACCAAAAACAAATATCACGTTTGAGAGGTACAAATTTAACAGTATATGCCAAAAAGAAGGTCAGAATTTTGATAATCTCTTAACAGAATTAAGAAAAGCTATTAAGACAACACAATACAAGGATCATGATGACATGATAAGGGACAGAATTGTAATGGGAATACTGGACAAAGTAATACAAGAGAGATTGTTACGAGAACCAAAACTTACTTTAGAAAAAGCAGTAGATGTTTGCAGAGCAACCGAGTCAAGTAAATCGCAGTCAAAAAATATTAAGAAATGAAAGTCAAGTGGATGCTGTACAGAAAAATAGTGATCAAGAAAACAATAAGAAACCATGTAACTTTTGTGGGTACAAACATGGCAAGTCTGGTAAATGTCCTGCATATGGGAAAACATGTGCAAAATGCCAAGGTCGGAATCATTTTGCTGCTGTGTGTAGGAAAAAGAAGTCAGACCAGAAAGAAACAACAAAACCAAGGAGAAAAAAGTTCATGAAGTTGAAGCATGTAGTTGCAAGGTGAATACTGAAGATGATGACACAAGTGATGAGTATTTTGTTGATGGTATACAGTCAATCGGGTCCGTAAAAGCAAACTTATGTTGGTTAAATAAATATCCTAGTGTTTTTAATGGGTTGGGTAAATATCCAACAGAACATCATATTACATTAAAGAAAGATTTTGTACCGCATGTGCAACCGCTCAGAAGGATTCCTCATATTTTACGAGATAGACTAAAAAGTAAGTTAAATGAGCTTGAGAAACAAGGTGTCATTTGTAAAGTTGATAAGCCTACTGAGTGGGTGAATGCACTTGTGATTGTGGAAAAAACAAATGGTGATTTGCGTCTTTGTTTAGATCCTAAGTATTTAAATAAAGCAATTCAAAGAGAGTATTTTCAATCCCAACTGCAGATGAAATCGCTGCTACCTTATGTAACAGAGAGTTTTTTACTGTGTTAGATATGAAAGATGGATATCTACAAGTAAAGATAGATGAAGAAAGTTCAGATTATTGCACTTTTGCTACTCCATTTGGTAGGTACAAATATTGTCGTTTACCTTTTGGATTGTGCTCCGCACCAGAAGTGTTTCAAAAGAAAAATTATGAAATATTTGGTGACATTGATGGTATTGGATTATATTTTGATGATATAATTGTCACAGGAAAAAAATGAGAAAGAGCATGATAAAAATTTGCACTTGGTATTGGAAAGAGCTCTCAGTTATGGTATTAAATTTAATAGAAATAAAATACAGTTTAAGTGTAAATCGGTTAAATTTATGGGTCAAATTTATTCTAAAGATGGCATAAAATTAAATCAAAATTATGTAGAAGCCATATTAAAATTGCCAAGGCCAGAAAGTAAATCAGACTTATTAAGAATTTTAGGAATGGCCAAGTTTTTAGGCAAGTTTGTGCCTAATATGTCTAAAATTACTTCCTCCTTAAGAGATTTAACTAAAATTGAAAATGAGTTTAACTGGCTAGATATTCATGAGAAATCATTAAATGAGTTAAAACACCTTTTAACATCAGCTCTAATATTGTCATTCTTTGATCCAAGTAAAAATGTAGAAATTGAGACTGATGCATCGAAAGACGGGTTAGGAGCCTGTTTACTCCAAGATGGACACCCTATTGCATTTGCGTCTAGAAGCTTGAGTTCAGCTGAGAAAAAATATGCCCAGATTGAAAAAGAAATGTTGGCAATTGTTTTTAGTATACAGAAATTTCATTTTTTTGTTTATGGTCTGGACGTAAAAGTCAACACTGATCATAAGCCTCTAGAAGCAATTTTTTGTAAAGATTTGGCATCAATAACACCAAGATTACAAAGAATGCGTTTACGTTTATTAAATTATAAATTAAGTGTGTCATATAAGCCAGGTAAATATTTGTTTATCGCAGATACCCTATCACGTGCTTTTCTTCTTGATACAGGATTAAAATCAGACAGAGAATTTGATTATGTTATACACTGTATTAATAAGTATCTTCCTATGTCTGAAACTAGGAAATGTCAGTTTAAAAATGCTTTAAGTAATGATAAAGACCTACAGTTAGTAATCAAATATTGTGAAAATACATGGCCAGAACAGAAAAAGAAAGTTCCTCTAAATATTTGGAAGTATTTTCATTTAAGAGACAAACTTTTTGTTTCAGATAGTTTATTATTTTTAGACAACAAAATAGTTGTTCCTCAAGAACTTCGTAAAGAAATGCTAAAATTATTACATGAAGGTCATTTTGGTATCGAAAAAACAAAATCGCGAGCACGTCAAATATTTTATTGGCCTAGAATGACTTATGATATTGAATCATTTATAAAAGATTGTAGAATTTGTGAAACTTATGCTAAACGACATCAGAAAGAAACATTAATGCTGTATCCTATTTCAAGTCGACCGTGGGAAAGAATTGGCTTAGATATTTTTACTTTTAATAATCAGAGTTTTCTAATAGCATTTGATTCATTCTCTAATTGGCTTGAAGTATTACCTATTAAAGACAAATCCGCAAAATCTGTAATTTTAGTTTTAAGAAGAGTATTTTCTACTCATGGTTCGCCAGATTGTGTAATTTCTGATAATGTTCCTTTTAACAGTTGTGAATTTAAATCATTTGCTAGAGAGTGGAATTTTGAAGTTGTAACAAGAAGTCCTAATTATCCTCGCTCAAACGGTCTTGCTGAAAGAGGAGTAGGTATTGCGAAAAATATAATTAAAAAAAGCGAAGGCAAAAGTGATGGCCTTGATATAGCATTGTTACAGTATCGGAACTCCCCTCTCAAATATATTGATTATAGTCCTGCACAATTACTTATGAGCCGTAATTGTAAAACTAAATTACCTAGTAATAATGAATTTTTAAAACCAAAATTGTGTCAAAATGTTTATGAAAAACTACAAGAAAGGCAAAATTGTTATAAGAAATATTACAATAGACAGGCTAAAGATTTAAAACCGATTTGTCCTAATGCAGATATTAATGTATATAATCATGTAAAGAAGAAGTGGGAACCAGGTCAAGTTATTTGTGAGCACTCCACTCCAAGATCGTATTTAATCAAAGATAGTGAAAATAATGTTGTTAGAAGAAATAGAATCGATTTAAAGGAAAGCACAAATAAGTTTGTTCCTAATGTTCCACCTCTTTATGAATGCTCTACTAGTAATAGTAATTTAAAGAATGTCGAACAACCAGCAGAACTTGTGGAAGGATTACCTGAAGCTGATCTAGAAATTGAACTTGATAAATGTCCTAGTATAACTAAACAGCTGATTCCTAAAACAAGATCTGGTAGGGTTGTAAGAAAACCTCAAAAACTAGATTTATGATGGGGGAGATGTGTGATAAGAGGTGACATGTCCCTATCATTTAAGTTCAGTAGCTCTCTAGTTGACAATAGAAGCAAAACAGTCATCTGTAGCTAGATACTAGTTGGTCACGTAGGCACGAATATATCTGCACATTTTCTAATTGTTGTAACTCCCTTTTATTGTTATTTGGTAAGACGGAATACTACTAACTAGTATAGTTTTATTTCAAGACCATAACATATTACAGAAGCTATGGAGGTATTCGTATTGGGCCAAGTTGCCATGGTTAGTACGGTGAGTACAAGAAAATTAGCCAATGAGACCGGCGTGAATCGTACAAGTGTCCAAAGGATATTAATAAAACACCCACCCGTACAAAATTCAGTTGGTACAAGAACTCAACTAAGACGATTTTGATCGTCGCTTGCAATTTTGTGAAACTATGAGTGAACGAGTAGCGAATCATAATAATTTGCTATTTAATGTGTGTTTTTTGGATGAGTGTACTTTCTTTTTGAACGATGTAGTTAATCAGCACAACTGTCGTTACTGGGCTGAAGACAACCCCAGGGTTTTTCACAACGTGCACACACAAAACCCTTAGAAATTGAACGTGTGGGCTGGTATTTTTGAAAATTCTATTGTGGGTCAGTTTAACGATATTGAGAAGAACTTCAACGCACAAGTCACAGAACAGCTATCTAGCAACTGCCGCACCTGATCGTTCAACCTTGTGGCAAGTGAAAAAATGCGTAAACATCTAGAAATAATAAGAAAAAACAGCAAATTGGTTGAAGGAATTTATCCTTATCATTTACTCTGATAAATGTTTAAATAAACTTTTCAAATTTCAATCCTTCATATTTCCTCAATGACTCGACCGATTTTCAAAAACGAGGCGGGCAAATATAGAGAATAGAAAGCTCTTTTCATGGCGGCGCCACTTTACCCCCCTCCCCATTTGAAAAAAGTTGGGGGATGACACCCCCGCTCAGAGGGTTGAAGATTTCGCAATCATTTTTGGGGCAAAAGTTGTCCCCCTCACAAACAAAATTGACGTGTTTTTTAATTTTTTGAAAAAAAGAATACCCTGGCCGTTATGACTTCCGGAACGTTTTCGATGGGCCACCCTGTATATCATATACCCTGTCCAGCGAGATATTATCTGATAGTGACAATTGTGCTTGTTTATTAATTTTAATTCACTATCGTTACAGGACTGACTACCTTATTTTTGTAACTCGGTATCAGTAGCCCTATATTGATTATAACCATTCTAATAAAACATAAAATAGAAACCACTGATTTATTCTACTATCGATAATATACAGGGTGGTGCCTCTCATACGCCGTGGAGGTTCCAAGGAGAACGACAGTTTGTATTGAAATGAAATTTTGTGAGCATATGTATGTTAATTCAGAGCACTTTTTAAAAATATAGAGTTCGACAGGATGCCCCCTAAAAAAGTTACGTATCAAAGTTGTGTTTTTTGTAATGGAACACCCTATATATTAATTGATTCTCAGATTCTGGTAGAAAAATAAAGGTGAGTTTTATAAGAGAAGTACATGACTAAAATGTAAGGTTTTTGACATAATATTTAACATTTTCTAGAAATAAAGAACAATTTCTAAATTACGATAAAAGCTACCTAAATTGGAATTTACCCGGTATCATAGTCTAAGAGCTGGATACATAAAAAAACCTTATCATCGTTACATGGCTAATTTTTCTTGTGAAGTCTCCTTATGTGTAGCCATTATGAAATAGTCATGTGTGCCAGCGCGATCCCGGGGCTTAAAGCGGGGGCGGCCAATCGAAAGGGTGAAATTTTGACACTAAAAGTATTATAAGGTACACGAGTTATAATTGCGAAAATAGCTTTTATTTATTATTAAGGAACGTGAAAAATTGTTGGCAGGCATTTTTCTTGTCGCTAAAATGCTGGTAGACAACGCGAAAGAGGCATGAAATTTTGGAAAAAAAATATGGTTCACATGCATGCCGATTTGTGGTATGTCATATTTATTCATTTTAAAAGCCGTATGCAAAAGAGCAGACAAAATATCGTGGCTAAATCAGCGGCAGACAGTTATCAAAAGCGCGATATTAGGTACTCTGGCGCTTTCAGGGAACGCTCGATCCCTGCCTTGAAAATCGTGCATTTTTTAAAAATTTTCCTTTATATTTTAGAAAACTTTGTACAACTGCCTGTTCACTGCAAATTTACCCACGGTATAATTTTTTAATCTACCATGCTTACGGCTGTGCTCTATGGTTACGACACTAAAAGAATGGCTGCAAATAGAGAAAAAAACATGTGACTCACAAAATTATTTAAAAATAAATCTTTCTAAAAATGTCTTTTAAAAAAAACTTTTGGAGTATTAGTTTAATGTACAGGGTGGGTCAAATTGGAGGCTTTTAATAGGAAACACGGCACACTTTTCTATAGGAGATAGACGAAAATTAATATCGGTGTTTGGTGCTTAATTTTTATCAAAAAGATGATGGTGAAAACCGCACATCTATATCTGTTATCGTTTATGAGTTACCGGGCATTACCGGGTGTATTTCAAAAATGTGCATTGTTAACAATAATTTTTTGCTATGGAAAATTTTGTATTTTTATGAAAACATTTCCAAAGCACATTTTTACGTAGAATTTATAATGGTTTAAGTATTTTTTTAAATTAGCACTCTTGATATTTTGTTATAGTCCCCTTCGAAATACAGAATTTTTAAAAGCTCGCCATTGGTGATCTGCCCCTAATGGAACTCGAAAACATATTTTCCAGCAAAACGAAGCATTACATCGCAACGCTAAAATTATCACTCAAATTGCACCCAATTTTCAGAATAATTGAATAGCTAAGCAAGGTCCCAGACGTTGGCCGCCGTTAGTTTTCGCCTATCTCCTATAGAAAAGGGTGTTTCCCTTTAAAAGCGCCCAATTTGACACACCCTGTAGATATACCTACTCTCTGGTTTAAACGCAAAAGAGTTATTAGATCAACATTTTGAGTCTCAGCAGCGTTTTTATCATTTTATTACCTTTCCACATCATCAGAACATCCAACATATCTAGCGAAACCCTCTCAAACTTTTTTTGTTTTTAAACATTTTCGAGTTTTTATTTGCCTTTATCCGACGTATACACCGATCGCGCAATATATTTATAAACGTTTTATAAGAGGCTAATTTGGCCTTATTAACCAGATTAATTATAGGCAAAGTCCAGTAGCGTACCCAGAGCAACCCAGAGGTACTTCAGAATAATTGTAACAAATGCCAGTTACTGACAAAAAAAACAGATGTTAATACAATATGATCGAAAAAAAAAGTTAGTGATGGCTATGAAATGAAGATCGCTATCATTTTATATGTAAAATTACATGAGGAATGCCATCGATCGTCATTTCCAAGCCAACTGGACGTCGTTTTTTTTTTATCATACGGTATAATAGTACATGTCAAGGGTAAAGAAAAAAATTAGAACATTTTGAAATAAAACGTTTTGTTGAAAAGCAAACGTTTTGTTGAAATTAGCAAATATTAAATAAACAAAAAAATATCAATTAGACTCATAAATATATATAATATTCTAAAATATTTCATTCCTTTAAATTTTAACTGATAATTGAATTTAATTTAAATTTTTCACGAATTTATAGCCAAATAATATATTCAAATTGTCTTTATTATTAAAACTTTATTATGCTAACTTTGAGTACACCAAACTATTAAATAAAAGAATATTAAGCCATTGTAGAGTAGGTATATATTATTATATTTTGTATTTAATTAATCTAAAATCACATCTACATACAAATTACAGGAGTACATATTATTAATGATAAAATAGTTATAGGTGTTCATATAATAAATTATAAACTACCAATATTTTTCCAATGATTTCACTAGATCCTTTGGATTTGTGCTTGGACCATGCCTCTCCACAGGTTGCCCATTTTTATCGATAATAAATTTGGTAAAATTCCACTTTATAAAATTACCCAGAGTGCCGCCTTGTTTGTGTTTCAAATACTTGAACAGAGGATGCGCATCATCACCATTAACATTAATTTTATCGAACATATCAAACTTGACATTCTTTTGGGCGACAAATTGGCAAATCTCCTCATTAGTGCCTGGCTCTTGTCCGCCAAATTGATTGCAGGGAAACGCTAAAAAATAAATTTTAATTACTGTATATTACAGAAAATAAAAATACAAACCTAAAATTTGGAGACCCTTCGATTCATTGTACTGGTCAAATAATTCGACCAGTTCGGCGTAATTGTTCTTCGTATATCCACACTGGGACGCTACATTTACGATTATACAAACGTGTCCTTTGTATTTTTCCAAGGGGACCTCATTTCCCTTGATATCTTGAGCGGAAAATTCATAAATCGACTTTGCTTCTTTCCAATTTTCCGGGTTTGACATCGCAAAAGCGGTTGACGTGACCGTTGCTAGAGAACGAACTGACTTGACTGTGTTCGTGACTAGCCTAATTATCGGTAAAAACATTAATTTATTTGTTTTAAAATGGAAAAGTATTGAAAGCTGTAATGACTGTCATTATTGTTATTTGAGGTTATGTATTCGCGCGCCGCTCGTCTAGAGATGGGCGGTTATTGGTAAAAAACCGGTTATAGGTTAACCGGAATTATCTTTAAAAAATAATAACTTAACAAAATTAACCGACACAAATTAACCGGTTATTCAAATAACCTAACCTAGCAAAACTAAATATTTAGTTTTCCTATAGGTTTACTTACCTCTACACTCTATAGGTCTACTTAAATTTAGATAATAAACTTAGTTAAATCGCATGATTAAATAGAGATTGTAGCAATGTAAGTATGTATATGTACAAAATGAGTTTAAATAAAAATGCTAACCTCACTTTTTTGACTAGACATGGATATGATATTAAAACTAGTAATTACTTAACGTTCAAATAAACCACACAACTCACAAGTTCTACAATCTACAACCAATTTATTTTAATCAAATACCAAAGAAAAATAAAGAGATTAAAATGAATAAATAATGAAAGATTATCTTCATTCATTACTTGAACTTCAATTTTGTATTCTTAGTCTAAGCTTCAAGAGAGACTTCAAACTACAAATAAAATATATTTACGGTGAAACGTGGGTGAAACTTAACTGTATATTATGTATATTTCATTTAAACTATATCATTTTTAAAATACAAACCAAAAATCTGAGGAATAATTATGTTTTCCATGTATTCTACAACATATTTATTAATCCGTTATATCTAACTAGCGTGACGTCATAAATCTCGCCCGCAGGCTGATCTTTTAATAGAAGGCACTGTATTGCTACTCACGAGCGCAGATGTCCTAAACTTGTAAACTGCTCCGAAATGTCACTGCGATTTTCTTGTAACTGGAGCAGTCACATACTGCGACGTTGGTGGAGCTGTGACAAAGTAGCGGACTGCGATTTCACAACCCACCTCTATTTGGGAGCGGGATCTCCCGTTATCGTCGTAATATCGGGAAGATCCGTGCCGTTCGCTTCTTCGAAATTTACGATTCAAACAGCTAATATTTAATTGTTACTTGTTTTATACAAGCACGATTTTTTAAAAATAACCGCCTATAGGTTATTGAAGGTAATGCAAGGTTATTAGGTTAATTGGTGAAAAAAAAATACCTTTAAATAACCGGTTATTTTAGAGGAAAATACCGGTTATTCAAAAAACCGGTTACTTTTGCCCATCTCTACGCTCGTCATTACAAAAATAAACACGAGACCTGACGACACACTTGATTACAATTTCATACCGTCTATTTAATTAAAACATAAAATCAATATTTATTACAAACATTGTAATTGTTCAAATTACTTTATTACCATACAAATTGTACAATTTTAATGGGAAACTATAAAACCACATTATAAACTACATAAGGCAAATTAATGTAAATTACAAATAATACATAAATAGTTTATATCTGAACCAGGTATAGTTGAACAAAAAGCTAATAAAAACAAAATATACCTTGGTAACTTAGAAAGTTATGCCCAAGAACTAATTTTACCAAAGTTCTTCTAAATGTTTTAGTAAAGCAAGTGGTTTAACAGCAGACTTAAACCTCTCTACTACTTGTCCCTGCTTATCGATGAGAAACTTTGTAAAGTTCCAGTCAATATCTTCTCCCTTGGGTCCTTCTTTCTGCATTTTTAAGTATTTCCATAAAGGATGAGCGTTATCACCGTTCACTTCGATTTTCTCAAACATATCAAACTTTACATCTTTCTTCTTGGCAAATTCACATATTTTATCGTTATCCCCAGGCTCCTGTCTACCAAACTGATTACAAGGAAAAGCTAATATTTTCAGTCCTTTGCTGTCACTATACTTATCATAAAGCTGTACAAATTCTTTATAATTTGAAGATGTATGCCCACATCGAGATGCTACATTAACAATAACACATACATGACCCTTGTATTTATCAAGTGATACTTCTTTTCCTGTTATATCTTTAGCCGTGAAGTCATAAATTGACTCTGCTTTAAGATGATCTTCAGATGGTTCTAGTTCTAGCTCATTACCTTTACTACGTTTGCTTTGAGGTTCTCCTTCTTCCTCTTCAATTTTCTCTGAAGGTGTTTTTTTATTTTTGGTTTTCTGTTCTTTAGATTTAACGGATTTTGTACCTGAAGGCTTGTCGGCTTTGCCTTTACCCTGCTTTAATTTTGGGAATAATTTCGATTTGACTTCCGTTGGAGCTTTTCGTGGTCTTAAGACTCTTGTAGGTACCTGGTCACTAACAACTCCATTTGCTTGTTTTGTTTTCGATACGATTTCATTAGTATTATCAGAATTATTCGTAGTTTTAGGATTCTTTTTCGGCGGCATTTTGAAGCACTTTTGAAAGTACAAAAATTGTGGTTTGTGGTTATGGTAAAAAAGCCGCCAAAAAAGTGACAGTTGACAGCAAAATTTAAAGCTGTTGTTAGTTGTTAGCAATCCGGTAAACGGATGAATAAAATAAACTAATCGTTCCGTTTTTACTTAAGAATCTGAGATTGAATTTTTAATTTTTTACATTAATAATTAATAATACATTAATAAATGCTAATACTATTTTATATTTACCCATCTTTGTTAAATCAACATATTTTTAAAAAATTAATCAGTTTTCAGTTAAATTTTCAAGTTATGAAAACAAAAATATTTAATTGATTTTTTTACGTGAATGCTAATTTACTCTTATTTATTTAAAATCATTGTTGTTTACACATTCACTCAGTGCTGCATGAACTGCAACCAGTTGTTATTTCTAAAAGCAAAATAATTTAAATTTTAAACCACTTAAACGGTTTATTATACCTTATATTACTGTTTAAAACTGCTGACGTTGATTCTATTAAAAAAAATATTTTTCCAAGAATGAGACGTTTGAGTTATAGTTTATAATCAGGCAGAGAAGCACATGACAGCTCATACTGTGCTCATATCAGCTCATACAAGGCTCATACACATGAATACATTTTTTCGACGGCGATAACTCCTCGGACGATTAATTTATTTTATTTATCCGTTTAGCGGTCGACTAGACACATAGTTGACCAAAATGATTTGAATTTTTTTATACCATTTGTACAATCATTTGTATATGTTTTATACAAGTTTTATATTTTGAATATTTATAAAGGTGAATAATAATTTGATTTTAATTTGCAGATCAGTAAAATTAGAATACAAGAATTCTGATGCGAGATATAACGGGATTCAAGCATTTAGATATGAGGCGCCTTCGACATTATTCAGAAGTTCTACGCCAAATCCCGAAAATGATTGTTTCTGTACGAAATCGACAAAAGATGCCCAAGGCAATGAAAATTGCTATTTGGATGGAGTTTTTGATTTTAAACACTGCATAGGTAAATACTTCGTTGTAAATATTATTAGAGTACTGTATACTTGAAACCGTTTTTTTCAGGATCTCCGATAGTAGCTTCAATGCCCCATTATTTAAATGCAGATCAAAAATATTTAGATAATTTTGAGGACTTGAAACCAAATGAAACCTTACATGGAATATATTTGCTTCTAGAACCGGTAAATACCTATTTTCAAACAATTTTCTATAACTACATTATCCTCTAATATTTAATAGTCTGCAACCTCTTAATATTCTGCAACCAGAAATACACGATTTTCAATGTTTGTCAAGAAAATCGGCACATTCACCATAATCATTTAAAGAGTAATGTTTCTTTTTATTCAATTTTTAGAATACCGGGACGCCTTTACAAGCTCGAAAAAGGATTCAGCTTAATTCCATATTACACAAGGTACCTCTGTTAACGTCAATAACTCCAGATAATATGGTCGAAACGGTATTTCCATTTTTATGGCTAGAAGAAAGTGTAGATCTACCAGAGGAATACGTAGACTTGTTAAATAATCAGCTATTTAAGAAGGTCACACTGGCAAACGGAATTGCCGATGGATTAGTTGCCGTAGCGTCGGTTTTATTTGTCATAATTTTGTTCTTTTTAATAAGAAAATTGTTATTGAGAAACAGAACTCAGTAGTGATTAAACTTATGCGGATTTAGGAAACGTCAAATAAAATTGCTAGTACGTCATAAAATCGTTGAAATATTATTTTAGGAAATATTAATTTAGGGACACACTGTATATAGAGGTCGGTTATGACGTGAAAGCAACTTTTTGCAACAATGCAACAATTTTAAAGACTGCGTCTGGCATCCAGAAATATATTATTTATTATAGATCAATTATTTATTTATTTTGTACATTCTAATTCATAAAATCTTACTAAATAAAGCGATTTTTTACAAATATATTGTTAGATTATTTATTATAATACCATGTGATCGAAACAAAAGGGGTTCAGTTAGTTCGGAAATGAACACCAAACCCATATACCGTATGATCGAAAAAAAATGGCGTCCAGTTGGCTGGGAAATGACGATCGATGACATTTCCCATATAAATTTACATATAAAATGACAGCGATCTTCATTTCCCAGCCAACTGGACGCCGTTTTTTCTCGATCATACGGTATAATTTTACATATAAAATGCCAGCGATCTTTGTTTCCTAGTCATCGCTGACGCCGTTTATTTTCCGATCATATTGTATCGTATAATAAAAAAAACGGCGTCCAGTTGGCTTGGAAGTGACGATCGATAACATTCCCTATATAATTTTACGTATAAAATGACAGCGATCTTCATTTTATAGCCATCGCTGACGCCGTTTTTTCAATCATACGGTATTTACTTTATATCGGCTCTATTTAAATTAGACGATTGACAACAATTGCGCAGATGTGCATAGATAGGTAAAACCCTTGTTTATTACATTCTTACATATTATAAGAATATTATATAGGGTGCTACAAATTCGAGCATTGGTATCTCGGTAACCGTAATAGATACGAACGTGGTTAAATTGAGGCAAAGTTGCGCTTTGGGATGTTCATCAAGATTCCATGAAAAAAGTTTTAAAAATTTCAAGGATTACTGAGTTTTTTGGAAAAAACGGATTTTTTCGAAAATCAGTTTTATTTTTTCCTGTCGTTACTTTTTAGAAAATCAAAAAACTAATTGCACATTCTCATACCCAAGTAGCATTTTCACGACTTGCGACCACATGTTTACTAAACACAACGTTGGATTAGTTACAAAAAATAGTTAGCTCCCTACCTTGGGTATTAAAATAAATTTAAACGTTTTTATAACGTTGTGCCGACGTTGGACTAGTACTACAGCAAAGTAGAAGCTTCTGCGACGTCGAATAAACGTTGTCTTGTAACCTTTTTTGCTTAAGTGATCTTTAGGTGATTTGGACCACGTAGTTACAACGTTGGACAATATAGAGTTTTCCGACGTCAGTTTCAGGACCTATTCCAACGTTATGCAAACGTCGTCTGTTTTACTAATTCCAACGTTGTTTAGATTTCCTTATAATTACGTTGGTAGGACGTCGAGTCACTACCTTTTCGCAAGTGTATTGAACCATAACCTTAAATCTTAAGTTTTCACTTCATTGTTCTGTTCAGTCAGACAGTTCAGTGCTGTTTTTGTTTTTATAAACAAAAAACTTAATTAAAATGGGACATAAGAAAGGTACATATAAAACTAAATTTTATAAAAAATACATCGACATATATTACCGATAGTTTATCCACTCCCTCGTTTATTTAGATTATAGAGGGCGACACAAGCTAGACTCTAGGATGACTAAATTAGGCAATCTTGCGACTAGTATACTACCTGTTAAGACTATTCGAACCATAAAATAATTAACTAGAAAGAAGTGTCAACTCTGTGTTAAATCGTGGAAACACGATACGCCACCGAAAGCCTTCGTTGTCGTCTGGAGAACTAATTTTCCAATTGACAGGTTGACATGATGGCTTCGTATTTATTTCCGTTTCCGGTTATTCAATGGCGGGTCCTCTTTCAGTTTAAATGTATTTTGTACTCTTTCTTATCATAAATAAAACAAAACAAAATTTTATTCAAACATATTTATTTGAAATATGAGACAACGTGACTAAATATATATAAAAAATAAAAGAATTGAATGATTTCAACAGCAATTACTTAATTATATGCAATTTAACGTAAATTAGTAAGGTATAAGCATGACTTACAGTAATTTGTAAATAAATACACGTATTCAGAGCCTTCAGGGACAGAAAACGGGGGCAGGAACATGAAAACGGGAGCCTTATACAAAAACCTGAAAACAGAAAAACAATTTTTTTTATATTAAAATTAACAAATAAAAATATCAGTAGGTATAAAATACAAATATACTGTTTAAAAAAAGCGTCCATTATTCCCAAAGAGACCTGGTTTATAAATCAAAAAGAAGCAAAAAGAGACTTTTAGTCGGATAACAATCGGATTATATCAGTCAGATTTATTGCATTATTGACAATAAATCGCACATACTGGAGATAACTAATGTTGGCTATAGTTAAAAATGATCTTACCTTGCTGTAAATTGTTTCCATTTTCAAAAAAATCGCCGATCATAAACATAACAAAATTTTCTTGCATCTAAAACATACAGAAATAGTGTTTATTTACTACCTATTTTTAATATACATGGGATATACCTAGTACTGCAGAAACGTCTTTTTCTCCAGGATTTTTCATGTAATATATATTTTATATGCTTTATTACCTTTATATTTATAAATTTCTGCCGAAATATCAAATTGAATTTACAAAACAAAACTAAACGGAGAGAATTAAAATGGAAAATAGAACAAATCTGAAGTTGTCTCTGAAATCTGTCAATTCTAAACTGTGAAGTTAGACAATAGTTAGAGAGAAACATTGCTGTCCTTGTCTAGGCGGCCATACTTGTCGTCAGGAGATGACAGGAATGACACTAATGACTGTTTCCAATTTTCCTATTTCACTGTCACCCCCCTGATTCGAACTACTCCATCTTAATCTCCAAAACAACAAAGTGAAAGCCGCCATGTTGTTAAATAAGAAAATGTTTCGTTCCTAAAATAGCAATTTCTGCTCTTTGAATACATTAACTTGAAATACTTGACCCTAAAAAACACGCGGAAACATTTTTTTCGTCTGCGAATAAATTATTCTCATTTTACTAAAAAAAAATTCAAGAAAATTTTTAAAACTTCTTTAATTTTAAGGCCCATTAGTATTTTTCAAAGTAGAAACAATACATTTATCAATAAAGTTGTTTGCGTTTAACTTTTTTGCCTTGGGTAACGAGTTACAGAGTCGGTTAAAGTGTTTCAATAATTATGATCTTGAAACATCCTCCACACTTAAATACTTTTGTTTTGTTTTCCTTCACTGCCCTAACTAAATCATAAAAATAATATTTTTACTATAATTATCCCAATTTAGGATAAAACGCGACTTAGAACGTTTTTTAAACAACGTTCTTTAAACAACGTTGCAGTTTGTACTAAATTAGGCTTCTAGCCAACGTCGGTATCCAACGTCGTTTCGACCCAAAAATTATTCTCCAAACTAGTGCAGACTAGGGTTGGCACGAGGTTGTGCCGACGTTGCGCCCCGACGTTTGGTCGCGTGACACAACGTTGTCCCGACGTCCAAATGCTGCTTGGGTAGCCACTTTATTAGCTAATAATTTGTGAAATACATATTAAATTGCTGACCTGGATATTACGTATTTGAATCTTCCAATTGGCTCGATTTTTTTATTCAATGTTAATTAACGCTGATCAATATTGTTGCGAACAATAAAATCAGATTAAATAATTTAAAAAACCAGAGTCATTGCGTCTAAAAATTTATTTTAAATAATTATTAACTTCAAACGGCAATAAATTGTTTAATTTAAATGGAACACCCTGTATATTTTACGAGAATCAGATGCAAAATTTAATTGTCTATCAAATTATATTATACCATTTTTTACCTATCTCTTTAAGTTTCCGTAGAAAATGCATTTTCTTGTAATTTAGAACTTATTTATCAATATACCCATGGACTATTGACATTTTAGATTATTTTTAAAGATGTACCAAATTTTTAAAGAGTAGAGATACTAATATTGTCGATATAATTCGTTTATTTCATTAAAAATAAAAAAACTGTTTAAATATTTGTTGAAGAGGACCAATTAATATGATTCCAGTATTCAAACTACATTAACTGACTGTTTGCGTTGATTAATAATAATTGCTCCAAATACTAAAAAACTGAATTTTGTATGGGCATTAGACAGTGTGATAAAAAGTAACACCTTAAAAATGATATTTAATTTTTTAATAAATGCTTATTTATAACAACAGAGACTTTAATTTGATAACTTATTATTATATTGATTTCTGACTCAAATCCACATTTATTTATAATAATTTATTAACGAACACTATTAAGTATTTAGTATATGGGCGGAAATAATGGTGTTTTATTTAATTAATGGTACACTCTTTTATAAATATTTAAATAGTTTTCTTTTTGCTTACAAATGGGCTAGTAATATTATCGTTTTGCTAAAAACGATAATATTACTAGTCTGTACATTTTGTATATTTGTTGCTTTAAAAACAATCTAAAATGTCAATATTCCATGGATATATTGATAAATGAGGTCTAAATTATAAGAAAATGCATTTTCTACGAAAACTTGAAGGGATAGGTAAAAAATGGTATAATACAATTTGATAGACAATTTAATTGTGCATCTGATTCTCCTAAAATATACAGGGCATTCTATTTAAATTAAAGAAGTTATTGCCGTTTGAAGCTAATAAGTATTTAAAATAAATTTTTAGACACTCTGTATAAGGTAGTATTATTTTTATTATTGCAACATAATAACTGATCAATAAATAGACTTCATTAAATATTTAGTATTAAAAACATTGATACCCTTGGAGAAATGAAGCTTTAAAATTTTTACTGCAATTTCACAAAATTGAAAATATTTCAAAAACGGTAAGGTTTAAGTATAATAAACCTTAATCAAATTTACCTTTATTTTAATCGTAGAAACTAAAAATTTAATAATATACAGGGTGTTCCATTTAAAAAAATACAACTTTGATATTTTTTATTTATTTGGGACACTCTGTATCTTGTAAAAATATTTTTAAATTGCAGCTCTAATAGTCCTTCAACGAACCCCAAACTTACAATTTGTAAAAATCTCATCGTTTAGCTTACATACTCCGTGTCGTATGTGGTGAACAACCCTGTATATACGAATATAATATATAGTACTGAACCAAAAAATGTGGTTTTCTAGGCTCGTCCGTGTATATCAGTCACATTGACTAATTCATTTCAAGAAAATCTGTAACTATTATCT